GTGAAACCGGGTACTTTATAAAGAAATAAAATTTATTTCTTACAGTTTGGAGACCAGGAAGTTCAAGGTCCAGGGAATACATCTGGTGAGGGCTTTCTTGGTGAGAACTCTCTACAGGGTCCCTTGGTGACCAGCCTATCACATGGCTAATGGGCTGAGCAAGGGAGAGCTAACCTTCTCATGTGCTCTCCTTATAAAGCCATCATAACCGTGCCCATGACCACCCATTAAACCACCCATGGATTAATCCATTCATGAGGGTACAGTCCTCACAATATAATTACCTCTTAAAGGCCCCACCTTGCAATTACCATAATAATTTCCCAACCTCTTAATACAGCAAGGATTAATTTCCAATACATGAACTTTTGAAGGACACAATCAACCCATAGCAGTTGCTTCTACAGATCAAAAGTCTGGGGAGGAAGGAAGATTGGTTTGTGAAATTCCGTGTAAGAACCCTTGTATCATAATCTGTATCTATAGATGGCTTAAAAATGTATCCGGTTCCTTTTCATGAACTTTATCTGTGAATTCAGAAGAACTCGAACAGAACAATACCATTTTATGAATGAGGAAAATGAGGCTCAGAGACAGTGATTTGCCTGAGTCCTGGGAGCAAGGACATTGCAAAGACAGAACTCGAATGTGGATCTACTTGCCCCAAAGTCTTTGGCTCTCCCCGTGCCTTGGTTGCCTCCTGGTTTTAGCTTGTTGCTGAGGTCTCCTGATAGTTGCCAGCTGAGGTAAACTAGCCAGCAAAGAAATGATCTTTTGTTTCTTTGTTTAGTTTTTCCCAAAAGGGTTTTGATGTTCTTTATGGTAGCTTGGTCAGTGTTTTGTGAACTCTCAGGGGCGATGTTCAAGTACACACTCTGTATTCTTAGAATTTCTACAAACTTTTCTTCTGAACATCTTGTAGGGTTTTGAATGTCTCCATGAGCTGCCAACCTAGAGTCTTCAGAAAGCATCTGTGAAAGAATCTTTCTACCGATAGATTCTATTGATAGCATCATAATTATGTATACAAGTTCTCCCCAGACCTTACTTCTCTCCTGTCTATTCCTCCATCTAGCTTCCTTTACTCATGCAGTGCCAGTGGTCTGGCCCTTGTTCACCTGCGTGGTGGCAGGTGCTGTGCTAGATCCTGGGGATGAGGAGATGGACAAAATAGAGCCCCGTGGGGCTGTCAGTCCAGGAGAGGGAAAGGTAAACAATCAGGTGCAGAGGCAAATAAACAAAATTATTAGAGATGTGCTGTGTGACATGAAGGGGTAAGGATAAGGTTGAAAAGTGTCCATAAGAAAGGGTGGTCAGAGGAGGCATCTCTTTGGGGAGATGACATTTGATCTGAGACATAAAGAATAAAATAAGCAGTCTGGGTGGAGGATGAGCAAGTGCCAGGGCCGTATGAAGAGCATGGATGTGCATGTGACTATTAATGAGGCCAGTGTGCCTGAAGGACAGTAAGCAAGAGGTAGAGGGGAGTAAGATAAAGATTGAAAGAGGGGCAGCACCACTCATGCAAGTTTGGATTTTATTCTAGAATCAATGGAAAAACCATTCAAAGGTTTTAAGCAGAAAAGTGATAGGATTAGATTTACATAGATTTATATTTAACTAGATAGAAAGGCAGATGATAGATGAATGGATGAATGGAAGGATGGACAGAGGGATGGACAGATAGACAAGCAGGTGGATAGATGGATTATGGAGCTTTGAGAGATTTGATTAATGTAAATCGTTGTTGATTGGAAGGGGCAAAAGTTGAATGTGAGATAAGATTTAAGGCTGCTGTTGAGTTGGTTTTGATGAATTACCAGTGACTTCTTTTAGGGTGGTGAACAGGTGCATGGATTTCATCTGAAATTGCTGATGGATGGGATGTGGGGACATGGAGAGCATTATGACCTGTTTGCACTACTGCCTACTTCGGCCAGATGTGGAGGATGACCTTGTCACAGGTCAGGTCCTGACATAGTGGCCCTAAGACATTTTCCCATTGTGCCCCTCAAGGTCCCGGGAAATTGCAGCTCTCTCTTAGGGCTGTGCCCAGCCGGCTCTGAGGACACCAGGTTGCTGACGTGCCTGGCATGTCTGCTGCAAATGTAGTGCTGGAGTCCACATCTTCCCTAACGACCTTGTGTCTAAATTGTCATGTCACACAAGGGCGTGTTTAGAAATTAGCATTTGAAAAGAAGCCTCCTTGCTTTCAGTTTGAGCTGACATGGTCCCTTTTCCTCTGTGGAAATGAAATTTATTAATCATCATAAAACCATCGGATTCTGAAGGTAGAGGTCACCCTGAGGAGAAAAGAGCCTGCTCATTTGTGAGGAATAGTTCAGTGCTGCTGTATTTTTCTTCTGCCTTGGAAGAGAATACTGCCAAATTGTTACCTTGGGTTTTCCACAAAGGTTGAAACTATGCCCTGTATTACAGCCCAATGAGGATTTGCCATTAAAGTAAGCGGTAGGAAAAGGTGGGAGCTACATTCTCATTAAATATGTTCAGACTACAAATATGTTGTCTCTAAAAAGAGGACATTTTGCTGTAGTAAAACCATTCCCCAAGTTAAAAAAAATTTTTAAATTAAAAAAAAAACTTTAATCGCCCTGAATTTGCATCTTCACACTTGTTTTGAAGGAATACTTAATAAATTCCTGAGGATTTTCTGTTTGCCTTTGCTGTTTATGTCGTGTTCATACAACAAGCTTTGCCAGGTGAAAGAGCATTAAAAGTAGTCCTATTTAACAGGTTTTTCTCTAGGCAGGTGACAGACTTTATTTTCTCATGAAGTGAAAAATCAATGCCAAAGTATATCATTTTCTTTTACCCCTGTTACTATCTACTTCTAGTTATGTGAGCAGAGTCTTAGGTCTTCTGAGTGACCTCCATGAATACATGATGTTTTTCAAAAACTTCATCATTCTTGTTTTAACACACCCTCTGCCTTAGCCTTACATCTGTTTTTACTGCAGAGAGAAGAATAATCTTTGATTAAGGCCATTTTTGATAAGCAAACAGACTGAAAAGGGTCCCAACGCATGAAAAGCAGGAGAGCGTTGACTGTTAATTTCACGGAGAGATTCGCCTCAGAAAAGAAACATCCGCTCATGCCTCTGCTTTGGGGGATCAGGAGGATGCTGTGTGTTGAAGCTGAAAGCCTCATCTAGGTGCTTTGAGCCCAGTGTTCTTTGAAACAGGCAAAAGGAGCTAGGAAGTTAGGCCATGCCAAATCAGAACTTTTTATCATCGTTCCCCCCCCCCACTCCCCCCGTTGGGAACAGAACTTGGAATCTAACAGTTAGAAGGTCTTCTATTAGGCTTCTGTCACCTTCCTATACTCCATGGTGTGATCCGGCAAGTCAGCCCCATCCAATACATTCTTATGAAAGAAGATTAGAAGAAAAATGGGGAAAAGATAGGGAAGTAAAGGGATAAAGTCATGCAAATTAGGCTTCAAGGGATGGGAGGTGTGCTTAAGGTTGACAGTGCAGACAAACCATTTCTTCCTGCTCCGTTCCTTTATTTTTAAAACACAATGTCAGAGTCTAAAGCTGCTGAAACTCCATACAGATCCCAGCTAGTGGCTGGTGTATCCATCCCCTGAATGCTGAGTTCTGAGTACTAATGAAGTGCACCCGCGCCCTTCTCCAGAAAATCACCCTCTGCCAAAGGCAGCCACTTGAACTTGGAGGTGAATCCCCCATCCCCCAGGAAAGTCCACAGCTAATGCCTAACTTACATGGGTATTAAAAAGCCAATTCACTTGCCTTCAGGTGAGACCAACTCTGGGGCACAGCTCTCAGGGTCTGGTTGAAGCTAGTCTTCATCCCAGACCAGATCTTTGCTTTTTTTCTCTTACTCTGGCTTGCTTGCTTCTCTCCCCCTCTTGAGAGAACTCCCTCAATAAATCACTTGCAGAAGAATTTCCATTTCAGGCTCTGCTTCCAGGAAACCTAGCCTAAGACTGCATCTCAGCTTTAACCAGTATCAAAACAGCAGTGTGCAAACTATTTCCAAGAAGATATCTGGCAGATCAAACAAGCAAGGGCATGTACACCGTGAAATGAGCATGGGAGTTGTCCTGAGAGGTTCAAGGATCAGCTCTGACTCTGTCTACCTATGTGACCTTGAGCAAGTGACTTAACTTCTGTGAACCCTAATTTCTGCTTTGTTGCAATGCTCAGTTCCAGACACTTAGTAGGTATCTAATGCATCTCATTTTCATCTTTTTCATTTTTATTCTATAGCCTGTGCTGGAAGTGATGGCAGTGGAAGGAGGAGGATGGTAGAGAGAGAAAAAACTCAAAGTTGAAGAAATGATATTAAGAAATATTTTTTCAAATGCCTCCTTTTCCAGAACCTTGCCACAGATGGATGAGATAGAAGTTTGGGATGATAAGATCAAAGTCAAATTAGGCTTCAATTCTTGAGTGGGGATAGGGTCGGGGGTCCCCCAGACTCTTCAAGAATGCTTCCAATCAGCTATATCTGCTCTTCCCTATTCTAAGATATTGGACCTGCGCAGACAGGTTCACCTCACCCTTTCTCATCCACACTATCTCGCTTGATTGGTGAGAGCTAAATCAAGACAAAAAGACAATCTCTCTTGAGTGTTAACATATCCTCTGTGGTGGGGGTGCTGGGCTTCTTAAAACCACCCTTTCAAATTGTTTTTTCTTGCCTCCCTCAGTCTCCAGGATAGCCACATGAGCAGTGTAGAAACAGTATTATGAGAGAGAGGTATATGTGTGTGTGTGTGTATATATAGGTATATATTAAAACATATCAATATAACCAGCCACGTTAAATGGACAAAAGAATGCATTAACCATAGAAGGACTTTTCTCATGTTATATGGCAGAATGGAATATGATTCATATTTCAAGATGAGTAGGGCCCCTCCATGCTGTCTTGGTATTTTGCAGTTTATGGCTGCTATTATTACTTTGTAATTGTGTATTATGGATTAATCTTCACCCCTGTTTTCCTTTCAG